TGTGCTATTAGCGCACTGATTATTTCCGAAAAATATTTCGATAATTTCAACTCTTTCTGCTGTGGAATATACCATGGTTAATTTATGTAATAAAGTTAATTTAGCAACAAAGTTTGGTCAAATCAATCGCAAACTATGTACTAAATTCCTATTTAAAATAAGTACGAGATATTTCCTTATCTTTCTTCAAGAAATAACTTTTTTGCCACAAAAAAACGCTCCAATAGCTATTTTCAACCACAAAATGATAAACAAACCATGGGCGTAGTGAAGAAAAGCATTTACTTATTAAGTAAATTCTTTTAGTCAAATTTCTGTAGTAGTAGTACAAACAAATCTGATATACCTATCTAAGTCTACTTTAAGCTTTAAATCAATAAATCTTCAAAACTACTGATCTGAAGTACATTAAGTTTATATCATTATAAAGGGAATTGCGAGACCGTTAAAATAAGGAATCACTCGACCCCCTTTCTATTTAAGCTTTTAGGGTTGGTGTCACCCCCGCCCAGGGGGCTGCACGTGTTAACGTGACTTTTTACCAAACTTGTGTCCCCCTCGAAAACAAAATCGACGCGTCTGAGCGTTTTCCCAAAAAAAAAAACTGAGCTGCCAGTAAATGCGTCTGTTTCGTTTTCGATGCGCCACACCGTATATATGTATATGAATGTTTCACCTCTAATCCGGCACTATGACCCTGTAATGTTTTTTTCACGATGATATTCAAATTTAGCGCCCCAAATCACCTGAATGTAGAAAACATCGTTCGCGGGCCGATAAAGAAAATTGTTAGCACCCTAAAGTTGTGAATATCACGTAGTTTTTGCTATTTTTCACTAACTAATAGAATGTACATGTTAAACGAAATCAGATACATATGGCGTGAGCTTGGATTAGGTTTTAGCTCACCCAAAGTAGGTATGATAGAGGTCATTTGAACCACATTTGGAGAATTTTAATTTTTAGTAACCATGTTAGAAAAAGTACCAAAGATGAGTCAGTCGTATTTATACAACCTGATCATTTTTCTTTCCCTAAAGTGAGATCAGTTACTTCCTTCTTAATTAGATAACGAACTCAATAGCTATGCCCGGATAGCACCAAATATTTATTAAATATTTATCTAATATTTAATAATATTTTTATCTTACTTATATATTTGGTTTCATAAACAAAATTTAATAGATATTTGTAATATAATATTTTTATTAAATATTATAAATGTGTTACTGCAAAAGCCCGAACTGTGGTAAATCCTAAGATTTTCTGGTAAAAACCTTAGATTTACCAACTCTCAATGGTAAAAGTCCGAACGTTCCTTTATTCGGACTTTTAACCACCATTTAATTGGTAAATCTTAGAATTTACCATAATGAAACGGTAAAAGTTGATAAAGACATGCCACAACGTGTTCAGTAGCACTCCGTATACAAATAATATTTTTCTTACTAAGTACCTAATAATTAATGACGATTGTCTTTTTTCTTCAATTTGTTCGTAAATACCAAATTATAAGAAAAATACTGATTCAGTGAGATTCAATTAGCCAAGGTAAGCGTTATGTTTGTGAGAAGATATGATACACATAAATACATATGTAAGGTTCATAATACTAATATAATTTAAATAAATGATTAGGAATTACTAATTTTTTTATTCCCAAAACCTAGCATATACTAAGTTCTAATAGTAAAAAAATTTCTTTTTCAATATTTACCGTGCTCTTGAGATAAATCCCAAGATTTACCTAGTGAATGGTGGTAAAAGTTCGAAATAAAAGAACTGTTTGGACTTTTACCATTGAGAGTTAGTAAATCTTAGGTTTTACCACAGTTCGGGCTTTTACAGTAACATATATATCTTTTAAATATTTTAAATACAATATTCATTAAATATTTACTTTTCAATCAATGGAAAATATTAAATCTCCAATATTTATAAAATATTCATTATAAATATTTTCGGCTACGGCGCATGTGCGTGTCATCTCGAGCGACCAATGGGATAATAGCAAGTCGGCCTGAGACGGCAGCCATTTTACCTGTAACTTTCACTATGATAGCGTGCTTCCTGTGTATCTCCAAATGATTCATTATTTGAGTGTTTTTTTTTTGTGGAAAAAGGAAAAGGGTAAGTTTTTCGATAATTACATAGCTTACTGTATCTGACTAGTAAAAATGATTGTGCCAGCTAAGTATAAAGGTATTCATAAGACCATAAATAACTAGCCTTGAAGTGTATTACTAAAAAAAATCACATTTCAACAAAATCAATAAGTGTTAGTCAAAGGATGAAGTTGTGCCCATGAACATTTTTCATCAAGATATCTAAAATCGCATACTAAATTTTCTTAAAAATTAACCAAATCTCGAAGTATCATAGGCATAACATGTGGGGTCCTTTTAGGTGCATTATAGAGCTGCTTTTCAGTGACCTAGTTCAGCTACTCGGAGTAACTCACCATGCGCAGCACCAATAAATACACTGAAAAGCATCTTATGTATTCAATAATACTTCATAATTAGTAAAAAATTTTTTTCAGAGGAGTGGACTTGTAAAATGCAGAATGCTTAGAATGTTTTTTTGATAATATTTTATCTAGCAAATTAAACCATTATATCTAGAATGAATTTTCTTTAAAAACCCAATTTTATATAAGCATTCCTACAGGTTTTGCTAAAATAACCAATGATGAACTTTCTATCTACACTAAAAACATGTATCAGATTAATGCTTGAAAATCCATACATGTGTATGAAAAATATTAGATATTTCATCAAAATATAAAATTGATATTTAAAAACCTTTCCTCATATATTTTTTAAATATTTGGAAGGAATATCGCAAAAATATATGAATTATATTTACTACAAACATCTATAATGAATATTTTATAAATATATAAGAAATATAATTATTAAATATTAAAAAATCTGTGGCTACAAATATTTAACAAAATTTTGTTTTTAATTTTTAATGCTATCGAGGCGCTTCGGACGGAAAACAGTTACAGAACAAATTTGCTTAGAAATAAATAATCAATAAATAAAAATGGTTTTTACTGAAAGAGAAAGCAGAAGCGTACCCTTTTTTCTCCAATAATATTCGGTGCAAAACCCGTACGGAAGCCACTGGTAGGAATAATAAAAATGTTTGTACATCAGCAAAAAGCACCTTGATGCATAGTTGTGTACGAAATTGCATGAAAATATCTATAATAGTTATCTTTAAAAAAATGGCGTCAAGTAGAATGACTCTTTACTTTCCACGCCTTCGTTGAAGGTTTGAAAGGGAAGGGCTTAGTCAAGTTGTTTGCAACCTACAAAAATCAACCTCTCATGAGCAGGAATCTCTGAAACTTGATATTACTTCCAGCGATTTTTATATTTTTGTCCATAGTTCCACCGTCAGTGAATCAGTTTTAACAATTTACCACTACTGAAGCTTAAGCCATGTAAGTATCAGTCGGGTTGATAAGATAACGTGGTGCTTCTGTCTCTGTCTAGCACACGTATTATACACGTTACGACGTCAGTGGTACGTAGACTTCACTGTACTAATGGCGAAGTGACTGCAAAAAGAATATTGCCCTATTCCTCCACAGGTGGCGCTCGCGTCGTGTGGCTCTGCGAGCTGTCGTGTAACTCACAGATGCGCATGCAAATCCTGAAATTCACACCCTAGTCTCCGTTAATAATCCCTTGCGGTGATATTGAATACTTTTCTTACATAATAACGCAATAAATTACCGGTAATAGTCTTCTTTAAGTCTGAATCTATAGACACTCTAGACTTCGCTGGATACTTATTAAGCTATATATTCCGCTCATTACCAGCTCAATTTAAACCATTTCTGTTGTTCCTTTTTGCTCTAACGCGCTGGTCATTGCGTCATTTTTTCATTCTTTAATTACACCTTCTCTGTTCCCTGTCCGCTTAGAATGTGATTGATTTATTGTGTTAGACAGGCTTTAAAGCGAAATAATTATTATAATTTGTTCAGCCGAGTTTCTAGCTATACGTGTGTTTTTAGGAAGTGGATACTGGTCCGTATGCACTGGCTTAGTAGGTCCACATCATGGTAGATCCATACAGAACTGTAGAGGAATCGGTTCTACACTATTCCGCTTTTTTATTAGATGGGGGGTTCCCAAACGATCAAAGCCAAGAAGTCCGATTATCCCCACCTTGCCGCCAATTTTTTCCCCAACGGCAAAATTCATTACTAAAAAAAATTATTGGAGCAAAAACGTCTTAATCCTTCGGATATTTTTCACAGGCTGTTTTCAGGCTTTCAGCAGAAAAATCTTAGGAACAACGGTATTCATGCAATTCAAGCGTACAGCGTCACAAAAATTGTTTGCAAAACGTTTGCCTTATTTTTAGTCCACGGACGTGAAAATGTTTTATGTTTTTCTGTTAGACCATATATGTATGTGGATCAGATGACCCGTTTATTCAGCTTCAATATCCTGTTTTTGAAATTTGGAAAATGTGGACTCGGTTCCTTGTTCCTCGATAAGTCTGGCGACCCGATGGATCAAACTGAACGGTCATCATCGGGCGGTCGCACGAACTACTAGAAACATATTGATCTGCAGCTTGATTTAAACTTACCATATGTATTTGTATTACCATTACATCTAACAGATACGTAATATCACCAGGATCAGAAGAATATAAAATATAGAACATATCTCACTGATACGCGTTTCTTGTCCCCAACCTTCGCAAAATAATTCTGAAAATGAGCCACAAGTCAAAAACGGTGTTAGAGCGACTTTTTTTCGCTTTTTACCCGTAGCTCCATCACCACTGGGTCAATTTTCAAAACCTATAAAGCTCGCCGTTACCATCATATACTAAGTGACATATAAATCCGAACACCCAGTTTAAATGGTTTTATTTTAATAAAATTTTGTATTAAGTACTTAATGAAGCATAATAAGTAAATGATAAAAATTTCAAAATGATTGCACTGCTTTAAAGCCCTTTGACCTTTAATAATGTGTGGATGCACCCTGATGTGCTACGCATTCTCCAATGCGCCTAGGCATACTTCTGATCAGGTGGTCAATGTCCTCCTGTGGTATCTCATTCCAGGCAACCACCAACTCCTCTCGAAGTGCTTCTAGAGTCTGAGGAGGATGTTGCAAATTGAGCAATCTCCTACCCATCATATCCCACACGTGCTCAATTGGGGATAAGTCGGGAGATCTTGGTGGCCATGGTAACAATGTGACATCATTATGTTGAAAGAAGTCTATTGTGACTCTTGTAACATGTGGTCGGGCATTATCTTGTTGGAAAGTTGGATCTGCCAGGGTGTCAAGATAGGGTAAAAGATGGGGTTCTAGAACTTCATGGATATAACGCTGCGTGTTCATGTTGCCTCTGATGAAGATTAAAGGTGACCTGGAACCATAAGCTATAGCACCCCAAACCATAACTCCAACAGTGTGATGAACATGTCTTTCAACAAAAAACTGTGGATTCCTCCTTTCACGACGTCGCCTTCTAACCCTGGCACGACCATCGTGCATGCCTAAACAAAATCGAGACTCGTCACTAAAGACAATACTGTTCCATTCCTGATCCCAGAGTGACCGTTGTCTGCACCACTCAAGGCGATTGCGTCGGTGTTCTCGAGTTAAAGGGAGGACCCAGTGTGGCCGGTATGAAAATAAGCCAAAACTTCTCATTCGTCGGTAAACACTTCGCATGCCAATAGGTCTTCCGTGTTCTGCAAACCATTCATTTGCAACGGACCTGGTAGTGGAGAAACGGTCCCTTAAGGCCAATAATCTTAGGCGGCGATCTTCACGGTCTGTTGTTCTACGGCGGCGTCCAGTGCCCCTTGCTCTTTGCGTACGGCCTTCTCGAAGCCATGCCTGACAACACCTAACCACAGTGTCTACACTTCTTTGCACTCTAACTGCAATTGCCCGAAAAGAAAGTCCAGCTTCCCGAAGTCCCACTATACGGCCCCTATCAAACTCACTAAGTTGACGAAATCGTACAGGTCTCTGTACTCTAGGCATCGTAACCGATCGTAAAGGATGTCAAGAACCAAAATCAGCCAACGTTGATTCTTTACTGCGGCTGAAATATTCATTTTTAGAGCGTTAGTGAATTAAAAAAAAGCAGCATAAAAACCAGAATGTCCAACTGATAAGGCTGAAAATTTTTTCACTTGTTATCTACAGTAAAATAAATACATTCACCAACTTTTATTAAAATAAAACCATTTAAACTGGGTGTTCGGATTTATATGTCACTTAGTATATTAAGAGTGTGTCAAAATTTCATCAAAATCCGAGCGGCATTTTAAAAGTTATAGAGCGGTCAGGAATTAGTGGACAGACAAACAGACAAATAGAAGATATCAGTGTCATGGATTTTGGTGATATAACATCCAAAAAAACATATATCTAATTTTTGAAATTTTTCGCGGTTGTAACTAGCGTGGGAAGACGACCTTTGGAAGCCCCTGCGTATCTTTGATCTCTTCAAAAAGTCTGGGTTAATATGATGCGAAGATCCGTAGTCCAACCTCAATTTGAGGCTAGGCTCGAAACACCTCACTTACGAGGGATGTCTTTTAAGTTTTGCATATGAAAATAACTTATTGTTTTTCGATGTATTCTCCACGAAGATTAATACACATCTGCATGCGCTCGAACCAATTTTCGAAGTACATATTCCACTCGTTTGCCGGCAGATCCAAAACGGCATTTTTGAATGCGTCAACTGCTTCTTCTGGTGACTGGGATCTTTGACCACGCAGTCTGTTTTTAATTTTCGGGAAAGTAAGGAAATCGTTAAGACTTAGATCGGGACTATATGGAGGATGGTCCAATAATTCCACGTTTTCTTCCGTTAAATACTGCCTTGTTTTTTTGGGCTGTGTGCGAGCTTGTATCGACTTGGTGGAGGATGATTCTTCTTTCGGGGTTGATTTTTTGAAGCTAGGTGATGACTTTTGGCAAACAAATGGTGGTATACCAATCCACAGTAACAGTCCTTTGCTGATTAAGAGGAATTGTTGCAATATGACCCGCTTTTGACACAAATGTCGCGACCATCTTTTTCGAAACACTTCGAGAACGGATGACTTTTGTTGGCTTTTCTTCACCTTGGAACATCCAAACAGCCGACTGTCGTTTATTTTCATAACAGTAAATCTACGATTCATCACCACTAACAATGCTGTACACATTTTTTGAGTTTCCGGAATTGGAACGGTCAAGCGTTTTTTAACACCAATTAACCCTGGCTGCTTTGCGCTCTTTAGTCAACAGGTGGGGTATCCAACTAGAAACTAATTTTCTTACTCCTAATTCTTCATGTGGAATTTTTTGAATTGAGGTCTTTGAGATCTTCAAGGACGCCTCAATCTCGCGATATGTCACATGTCTATCTTCAATGATGAGTTTGCCCACAGCATCGACGTTTTCCTGTGTGACTGCCGTTTTTGGTGCACCCACAATAGGATCATCGCTAAGACTCACCCGTCCACGTTTGGATTCTCCATACCAACGGGAAATTGTCGACTGATGTGGCGCTTCGTTGCCGAAAACAGACAGTAACTCAGCAAGGCATTCTTGTTGCGATAATTGTCTCTGAAAGTTGTAATAAAATATGGCGCGAAAACGTTCTCGGTTGAGTTCCATTTTTCTAATGACTCCGTGACACTTAAAAATTCACTGTAGTGAGAACACTGCACGTATTGTTGTGAAACTTTGAATTTAAGTTTACTAAAGAGTGAGGTTAAGATTCAGTACTGACGTTCGATTCGCGCGGCCTACTAACATATGTTTCTATATGCAAAACTTAAAAGACATCCCCGTACTACCTCAAATTCGGTCCCAAGTTCATTTTTTGATGGTTATAATGGAATTCAGCGCCTCAAATTACCGAACGTACGAAATTTCATTCCTTTGTAACAAAACAATACAAAAATAGAAATGATCAAAGAAATGTTGAAGCTTGACAAATAGATGTTTTGGCTGAACGACAATAACCGAGAGACCAAAAAAACATACAACATCTTTCGATTATTCCATTTCATTTTCTTCCATTTTAAATTTCTTCTTTCACTCAAAAATCATTTTCAAAATTGCAGCAGCAGAATCTGGTATGATCTCACCGCATGGATCACTTATGCGTCGAAAAATAGTACCTATAGGTCTGAAAAACATATAAAATTAGTCGCTTTTCGCTAATAATATACTAAGTGACATATAAATCCGAACACCCAGTTTAAATGGTTTTATTTTAATAAAAGTTGGTGAATGTATTTATCTTACTGTAAATAACGCTCTAAAAATGAATATTTCAGCCGCTGTAAAGAATCAACGTTGGTGGATTTTGGTTCTTGTCATCCTTTACGATCGGTTACGATGCCTAGAGTACGGAGACCTGTACAATTTCGTCAACTTAGTGAGTTTGATAGGGGCCGTATAGTGGGACTTCGGGAAGCTGGACTTTCTTTTCGGGCAATTGCAGTTAGAGTGCAAAGAAGTGTAGACACTGTGGTTAGGTGTTGTCAGGCATGGCTTCGAGAAGGCCGTACCCAAAGAGCAAGGGGCACTGGACGCCGCCGTAGAACAACAGACCGTGAAGATCGCCGCCTAAGATTATTGGCCTTAAGGGACCGTTTCTCCACTACCAGGTCCATTGCAAATGAATGGTTTGCAGAACACGGAAGACCTATTGGCATGCGAAGTGTTTACCGACGAATGAGAAGTTTTGGCTTGTTTTCATACCGGCCACACTGGGTCCTCCCTTTAACTCGAGAACACCGACGTAATCGCCTTTAGTGATGCAGACAACGGTCACTCTGGGATCGGGAATGGAACAGTATTGTCTTTAGTGACGAGTCTCGATTTTGTTTAGGCATGCACGATGGTCGTGCCAGGGTTAGAAGGCGACGTGGTGAAAGGAGGAATCCACAGTTTTTTGTTGAAAGACATGTTCATCACACTGTTGGAGTTATGGTTTGGGGTGCTATAGCTTATGGTTCCAGGTCACCTTTAATCTTCATCAGAGGTAACATGAACGCGCAGCGTTATATCCACGAAGTTCTAGAACCCCATCTTTTACCCTATCTTGACACCCTGGCAGATCCAACTTTCCAACAAGATGATGCCCGACCACATGTTGCAAGAGCCACAATAGACTTCTTTCAACATAATGATGTCACATTGTTACCATGGCCACCAAGATCTCCCGACTTATCCCCAATTGAGCACGTGTGGGATATGATGGGTAGGAGATTGCTCAATTTGCAACGTCCTCCTCAGACTCTAGAAGCACTTCGAGAGGAGTTGTGGTTGCCCGGCATGAGATACCACAGGAGGACATTGACCACCTGATCAGAAGCATGCCTAGGCGCATTGGAGAATGCGTAGCACATCAGGGTGCATCCACACATTATTAAAGGTCAAAGGGCTTTAAAGCAGTGCAATCATTTTGAAATTTTTATCATTTACTTATTATGCTTCATTAAGTACTTATACAAAATTTTATTAAAATAAAACCACTGAAACTGGGTGTTCGGATTTATATGTCACTTAGTATATAAAACTTTCAAGTCCATTTGTACACTGCAAGAACGGTTTCATATACCAAGATGGTTCAGTATACACTCCCGACTTTTTCACGCCTTTGTATGGAAGCATCCGTGAAATAACTGAAAAAGATTCCGAATATTAGTACTGACAGCACCTAATTTTCTCCAGATATATATGAACCTAATGATCATGAATTATAGACATTATCGCGTCAGTGAGCCGATGGTGAAATTTTTGGCCATATATCATATGTAACACCTAGATGTAAATAGATTCTTTTATAATAAGCTGCGATATACTTATAGACAGGGGTGATAAGTCGTAAGGTTGGGAAAACATACTCGATAGTTGTCTATTTATTTAATGCACATTATTGCTCGAAACACAATCTATTTCATACTTACATCATAACACTGATCAACAGCCAAAAAATATCCTAAATAAAATCAACAAAATATTACTATTTTTAATGTGCTAAAACCGGAATGAAACTTATTTTTTCAATATTAGTTCAAGTTTTAGAGATACGGTAATTATATGTGTTCCTGCTGTGACAGTGTTAATATACTGTAATTCACAAGAATGCACGTGCTACATTTTTATATTCGGCAAGGAAAGATGATGTAATCGGCATGATTGTGTTACGTTATACATACGTGTACATTATATTGTTTTATATTAGCCATTTTTTCCTCAGTTGGCTGACAGCGTTCATGCAAGATGTCTCGAAAGTGTGTAAACAATCCAGATCAGTTTTGCTACGTGTGTGGTGATGTGACTTTTGCGTCTCAGAGACGGTCTATTACTCCACTAATAACAAAGGCATATCAGCTTTATTTCGGTTGTAAACTAGGTGATCAAGACAAACAGTGGGCACCCCACATCTGCTGTAATACATGTGCTTCAAGTCTGAGGAGCTGGTTAAATGGCAAAAAACGGTCTATGCGCTTTGCTGTCCCAATGGTTTGGAGAGAGCCTACAAATCATATTAATGATTGTTACTTTTACATGGTACCTTGTGTTGGACAAGCCACAGGTATGTCCAAGAAAAAAAAATCGGTTATTAACTACCCAAACATACCATCTGCGATGAGACCTGTGCCTCACAGTGACGAAAATCCTATTGCAAAACCCCCAGAATCCTACACTTGCGAATCAGAAAACGAATTAGATCATGGCGATCGAGTGATTCGTCAGGAAGAAGATATGCCATCAACGTCAAGAGATCCTGATTTTATACCGAGTACGTCATGCCACCAACCGCACAAAATAACACAGTCAGAATTAAATGATCTTGTAAGAGATTTAGAACTTCCAAAATGTAAGGCAGAGTTACTTGGATCAAGACTGCAGCAGTGGAACTTGTTAGAAGACGATGTTTCGGTATGTGTTCTTCGTAAACGCCACAAAGACTTAGAACCATTTTTCAATATGGAGAATAACTTGGTTTTCTGCAGTAACATTAACGGCTTACTGGCGGCTTTAAATATAAACTATAACCCAGAAGAATGGAGATTGTTTATAGACAGTTCAACATTGAGTTTAAAGGCAATGTTATTGCATATTGGAAATATTTTACCATCTCTTCCTGTAGGGTATGCAGTTCACATGAAAGAATCATATGGCAATATGAAGTACCTATTGACATGCATAAAATACGATGAGCACCAATGGCATATTTGTGGCGATTTGAAAGTTGTTGCACCTTTACTTGGGCTGCAGCTAGGCTACACAAAGTTTTGCTGTTTTTTGTATGAATGGGACAGTCAGGCAAAGGCACTTCATTACACCAGACAAAACTGGCCTGTTCGTCAATTCCTAGAGCCAGGTCAAAAAAATGTACAGCATATGCCATTAGTAGATTCGAAAAAAATATCAAGTTGGGCCTAATGAAAAACTTTGTCAAGGCATTAGATAGAGATGGGTCAGCTTTTCAATACCTGCGTCAGAAATTTCCAATACTAAGTGAGGCAAAGGTTAAAGAAGGTATTTTTGTTGGGCCACAGATTCGAAATATTTTGAAAGATACACAGTTTGAAAACACTTTAACAGGTATTGAAAAAACTGCTTGGAATGATTTCCGTCTGGTGGTCACTAATTTCTTGGGAAATAGAAAAGCTGACAACTATAAAACACTTGTCAAAAATATGCTGTCATCGTATCAAAAGATGAGCTGTAATATGTCTCTTAAGATACGTTTCCTACACTCACACCTGGACTTTTTTCCTGACAATTGCGGAGCCGTAAGTGATGACACGGCGAACGTTTTCATCAGGATATTTCAACAATGGAAAAAGGTACCAGGGAAAGTGGAATCCTTCCATGCTTGCAGACTACTGTTGGAGTCTTGGTAGAGATGCTCCAGAAACGATCCATAAAAGAGCAGCAAAAAGACAGCGCATATAGTGATTCTTATAAGTATATGAATCTTGTTACTTTTTTTAATATATCCTTAAAAATAAAAAGTTTTTTTTCTAAACCGCAACTATTTTTTTTATTTCATTGTCATTTTTGGATTCAGCGCCCCAAAATTAACAAAGAAGTGCACTTTTCCCACAAGATACAATTAAAAAACTAAAATTTGTTGTCCAGAAACTACTCCTGTTAAGTACCAAAGTTCACTTCTGACAATCTCATTATTCTGCTACTATAAAATTCCTCAGGTCCTATCTATCGAGGCGGGAGCAATACGTAGCATATGACGAGGGTTCAAGTCCGAAGCCTACTCCGCTCCATCCGGTGTTCCCCAGGGGTCTAACTTGGGACCTCTTTTATTTCTATAGTTTTGATGACTTCTGTGAAAAATTGAAATGTATGTAATTATGGTTTGCTGACGAAATGAAAATATAAGGAATATTCATGATTGTTTTTATTTACAGATAAAGTTGAATAGTATTCGGACTTGGTACGATGTCAACAATTTACATCTAAATATACTAAGTGACTTATAAATCCGAACACCCAGTTTAAATGGTTTTATTTTAATAAAAGTTAGTGAATGTATTTATCTTACTGTAAATACGTAACAAGTGAAAAAATTTTTAGCCTTATCATTTGGACATTCCGGTTTTTATACTGCGTTTTTTAATTCACTAACG